GTCCCCCCCCCCCCCACCACCACACACACACCCCACATGTCTCTTCACCAGATGTAACCATTTGATCCAGGCATGATCACCTACTTGGCTAGTGGGCAGTTTTGGTGTCCAGGGCACAGGATGGTCTGTTAGAATTAAGAGCATCACATTTTCTGTCTACAGGGAGTATAGGAAAGACATGCAGCCTGGATGACCAATTCTATAGGACGTTATGTGTGTGGTGTATTTAAAGGAAACAGATTATGTGATAAAACAACAGCCCAAATCAGAGACTCTTACAGATCTTACATTAATTTCAGCAGAAAACAACAAAACTGCCTGAAACTGAAGCATCATAGAGAATACTTTGTCAGAGTAGCCTTTTCAGGCATTGATTAGTAACAAAAGAAAACACATATCTCTCACTGTTACTCTTTTTCTCACAATCCACATTTCCAGTTTGGGTGACCGTCTCCAAGCCTTCTAGAACAAGGCACCACAAAGCTGGACGTCAAAAGGGCAACACTCTCCAGTGCTGGAGCTCTGGGGTCACGACTTCTGGAATAATGCTGGTGAGCTGCTCTGACCCAGCAGCCAGGTCCCTAGTAGGCACTTTCGATGCAAGTGCATGGAAATGTGCAGGATACACTGAAACTTGAAAGGAGTGAATCCTGTTTCTCTTGTTCTAACACACAGAACCTCCTTCTAAACTGGGAACTCATGGCTGTGGCTGCACAAAATACATGACAAGAAAGAGTAGATGTGGGAAGAGATTTTCCATAACTATGCAGAAAAAAAATAATTTAAAATTATGCCTTGATCCTTCCGTTCCACTATATTTATTACCAGAAACATACATTTCTTTTGCCCTTTCCTCATGTCTTCAACAGAGCTAGATATCAGTGGAGAAATTTTGTACTGCTGGTGGGAATGCAAACTGGTGTAGCCACTCTAGAAAACAGTATAGAAGTTCCTCAGAAAGTTAGAAATAGAGCTGGGCTAAGACCCAGCAATGACACCTTTGGGTATTCATTCAAAGGATACAAAAATGCTGATTCAAAGGGGTACATGCCCTTAAATGTTTATAGCAGCGCTAGCAACAATAGCCAAACTATGGAAAGAGCCCAAATGTCCATCAATTGATGAATGGATAAAGAAGATAGACACACACACACACACACACACAGAGAGAGAGAGAGAGAGAGAGACGGGGGGGGGGGGAGAGAGAGAATGGAGTATTATTCAGCAATCAAAAGAAGGAAATCTTGCATTTGCAACAACATGGATGAAACTAGAGGGTATTGAGCTAAGTGTAATAAGTCAGTCAGAGAAAGACAAATGTCATGTGACTTCACTCATATGTGGAATTAAGAAACAAAACAGATGAACATAGGCCAAGAAAAGGAAAAATAAGATGAAAACAGAGAGGAAGGCAAACCACAGTGACTCTTAAATGTAGAGAACAAACTAAGGGTTGCTGGAAGGGTGTTGAGTGGGGGAATGGACCAAATGGGGGGTGGGCATTAAGGAGAGCACTTGCTGGAATGAGCACTGGGTGTTATATTTAATTGATGAATCACTAAATTCTAGTCTTGCCACCAGTATAGCACTATATGTTAACTACCTTGGATTTAAATTTTAAAATAAGTAGGGGCGCCTGGGTGGCTTAGTTGGTTGAGCGTCTGACTTTCGCTTAGGTCATGATCTCGCGGTTCGTGGGTTCGAGCCCCGGGTCGGGTGTGCTGACTGCCAGCTCAGAGCCTGGAGCCTGTTTCAGTCTGTGACTCCCTCTCTCTCTGACCCTCCCCTGCTCATGCTGTCTCTCTCTCTCTCCTAGAAATAAATAAAACATAAAAAAAATTAAAAAAATTAAATTTTAAAATAAGTAAAACAAAAGAAATACACAAACAGAACTATCAGCTCTCTAAGTGACGTACAGAGATTTTATTTTATTTTTTCTGGTGTGGTCAAGATCTTCTGACCTGATGCTTTAGGGAGTTTCATTCACAGGGCCTAACACTTGTATCCAGCATTCTCCACAGCAGACACCAGACCTCTCGGGAACTACCTCCAGTCCCTGCAGTTATTTGGAGAAAATTCTGGGGGTCACTAGCAATGGAAGTGAGAGCTCTTGATTTCTCTAGACCAGGGAGCCAGGCAAGATCACTAAATGCAGTGAAGCTGAGATCCAATCACAACTGAGAACCTGACGTCCTGCTTTCCTGTGCACCCGTCACCCTGTGTTCCCGGCCCTTCCCAGGGGCGTGGGGGAGGCCAGCAGGACAGAAAAGACAGAAACGGCAGCAGACATCACCACTGAGAGAGTAAAATAAAATGTGTTGCATGTACAGACTGATTGAATCTCTGCGGACTCCAGTTCTCCTCTGCAGTCGCCGCATTGCTAAAGTGCTGGGCGACGAAACCTTGGGTGACCTCTGTAGTGTCTGGATCCCAGACATGTGGGTGAACAGCAGTTCAGAAACCGCTGACATCTGACTTAAAAGTTGGCATCACTCCCTAATGTGGCCACACTCTGCCATAGAGCCCGGATAGCAATTATGACTTGTTAAAGACGTCGGAAATGAAACAGGTTTGAAAGTGTACAAGAAGGAAGGTCACTTTATGCTCAAAATGACAGAGTAACATAACAGGAAAAACAACTCAAGATGTCTCCCTGCACATGGCCGCAAGAGGGCGCCCATGGACCATGGGACGCCAGAAGGTCCTTGGACGTGTCTAGTGATCATGGTCAAAGCCCAGACTGACTTAACATGTGATTATTATTTCTTATTATCACTAAATAGTGCTGGAGACCCGCTCCAGCAGGTCCAGGGGTCCCAGAAGGATGGATGGTGTTGGCGAAAGAGAGAGTGAGAGAACCCCGAGATTCTTTCTGATCACCAAGGCAGGCATCTCTGCACTGTCGGTTTTGGTGTCTTTATTGCAAGGTCCAACGACAACATGAGATCAGGAAAAGGAATTTTTACAATGGAAAAGTCTGTGATAAGATGCTTTGAAAAGTGTACAAGAACAGGTTTTTCAGAAGTATTCTTGCAGAATTACCCCAATCACAGTGAGGTTGAGTAAATCTTACAACTACAGAAATAACAGGGAGTTCTTAGTGAAAAACAGGACAGCATACATATTCTAAGTTAATAACACTAGGATTAGGACATAGGTTAAGTTGTATATAGATAGGCTAGGAGTCATTCTGTCTGGCTCACGAGAGGATGAATGTTTGTGAGCTAGTTAATAAACTTTTTTGACTTGATGCTAAATGTGTAAACACCATGGAGGCCCTAATTGTGTTAGCCTTTGTTGTGGGGTTATGTTTTAGCTACTCTTATCTATCCTCCTCCCAGCCACCAGTGTAAGGGAGGGTGTTTGTGGAAAGTAGGCCTTAGGGAAGGAGCTGTCATATATCACCAGTTAGAAAAGGTATAAGTATTAACTTAAGCTCTGCCCTTATCTGTTCCTTAACTCTAAATTAGGCTCTTTGTTTCAGGGCCAGGCTCAATGGTAACTCTTGTGTTCTTAACCCCCTTTATGATCTAAGTCTTAGATCTACAAGGTCCATAATAGGAAGAGCCTTTTGACAATCATCCACAATGCTTTCATCTGAAATCTCTTTTGAAAAGGCAGGAATATGCTTTTCCTTAGGACGTATCTGTGTCGGGAATATTGGTCTGATTTAGAATATTGTGAGGCCTGGTCAAAACCAGCAGCTCATTTCCAACATGAGCCAGTAGTAGCAGAAGGAGATACCAGTTGTCGCTTCTCATGGCAGGAGTGGTGCAAACGCTGCTATTTCCCCCTGTGACTGTCATCCAGCGAGGCCGGTGAGGCACCCAGCACTAGGTACTTATCGTTTCAGGTCTCACATTTAAGTCTTTAATGCATTTTGAGTTTATTTTTGTGTGTGGTGCAAGAAATGTGTCCAGTGTCATTCTTTTGCATGTAAGTGTCCAGATTTCCCAGCACTGTTTTTTGAAGAGCCTTCCCCCATTGTATGTCCTTGCCTCCTTTGTCATAGGTGAATGGACTTGATAAACAAGGGTTTATTACTGGGCTCTCTGTTCTGTTCCATTGATCTATGTGTCTATGCTTTGTGCTAGTACCGTACTGTTTTGATTACTATAGCTTTGTAGTCTAGTTAGAAACCTAGGATGGTGATACTTCCAGCTTTGTTCTTCCTTATCAAGGTCGCTCTGGCCATTCAAGGTGAAACTATTCACATAGAAGTGTAAACTGTACCTGAGAAAAAGCTAAAAAACTAGAAATATGACAGGGCAAACAGAACGAAACATTTGAATATGTCTCTTCTCCCACTCAGGAAGCAGAGACTGTATCTCGATTAGTTTTGCTCCAAACACAGAAAATCTTTTCTGTTGCTTTACTCACATGAGAGGCCATACCCCCCTCCTGCTGGCTCTTTATACATGGCTGCATCCACAGCGGATTTGCATAGCGTCCCCTGGGAAGGACCTTCCTTTGCAAGTCCGAGATAAAAGATCAGCTCTCAAGGTGTCTGGACTTAGCAGGGCTCATCCACGTAACTCTCAGGATGAGGTTTCCTGCTCAGCTCCTGGGGCTCTTCCTGCTCTGGACGCCAGGTGAGGGCAGAGTGCCCAAAGAGGAAGGAAATCGGGCTGGTGGGGGGGCTCGGAGGGGACACTGCTTCCCACACAAACCTTGTTGGCCTGAGGGCTGGGTGGTCTTGCCCTGTGGGACGTGGCAGGTGAACGTTAGATCTGTAAGAGAGGAATATTCCAGAAGGAACAGGACATATGTGTACTCTGCTAATTTCTTAAGCACCAAAGGGGGGTGGCTTAGGTAACTGCTAGAGACCCTTTTATGTCCTGCAAATCTCTGGTTCTTTTTTGAAATTAGAAAGTTTTGAGTCCCAACTCAAAATCGTGTACCATGCTATTTTTAAGTCTGAAATAAACAGTAAAAGGGAAATTATGAACTTTCCTCACAAAGTTTGCACATAACCTTGCACTTCTCTCTTCTTCCTTTAGGATCCAGTGGGGATGTCGTACTGACTCAGACCCCAGGGTCCCTGCCCATCACCCTTGGACAGCCGGCCTCCATCTCCTGCAGGGCCAGTCAGAGCCTCGTGCACAGTGATGGAAACACCTATTTACATTGGTACCTGCAGAAGCCAGGCCAGTCTCCACGGCTCCTCATCTATAAGGTTTCTAATCGGGCCTCTGGGGTCCCAGACAGGTTCAGTGGCAGCGGATCAGGGACAGATTTCACCCTGAGAATCAGCAGGGTGGAGGCTGAGGACATTGGAGTCTATTACTGCCAGCAAGGTACACACGCTCCTCCCACAGTGATTCAGCCCCGAACACAAACCTCCCTCCTGTCACGGCCCCGCTGCCCACACGTGCTGTTGTTCTGGGGAGCAGGCACCGCACATCCTGAGTCTGAGGAAGAAGACGCTAGAGACCCCAGGGGACTAGGTGGCAGCTGCGGGCTCTGGGTCACAGAGGCCTCGGAGGCAGCTCAGGCACCACACAACATGGCCCCGGAAACGTCATTTTCTGTTGGCAGAAACAGCAGAGGCTGGAGGGGCTCAAGGGCCCTGGGAGCAGGTGGTCATGGGAAAAGGCACAGGTGACTGAAAACCCTTCCTCAGTCTCCCTGCTTGGACTCCTGTCATCAATTCAGTCAGCGTGACAGGCAGACCCCTGGGGCAGAATGTGGAACACAGGTTACATACATGCTGGGGTTTGGCCAATGGGTCTATTATTAAAAAGGAGATCTGGCAATAGTAAGAAATTGATATTTACCCACTTTTCTATGTCTCCTTTTTAATACTTATGTTCCCACCCCATTGACATGTTTGAGGGAACATCTTGCCAAGCTGGTGTCAGGTGTCAGGTGGGATGAACTGAGAACAATCAGGAAAAGTTTTGGATTCCTAGTGTACAAAGAGTCCTTTGTCATCAGAGCAAATATGATGTCACGAGAGGTGACTGATGTTTGACTGAGCAGTCAGCAAACGAGGGCATATTTGTGACAACACAAGTTGAATACATTTGGAGCTAACAAGTTTTCCTATTTTCAATACAATAATATTTGGTATCGTGCAGATATTATTTCTCATTTTTGCACATTGTGAACTTCTTCATTACCAGTTACACAAATCCCTCTTGTACAATGTTCTCCAGACAACGTTCCATGCACACTATTTCCACAGCAAACATGGCTGAGAACACTTCGTCAGAGCGTTTGGTGTTCAAGGACCCAAACACACTGCTGAAACTTCACAGCAGAGATGAGCTCTGCTCCTGTAAAGATGTAAAGAAGATGCGGTCATTACACACAATGGATGTCACTCACCGTAGAAGAGAATGAAGTACTGCATTTGCAACAACCCATGACAGTATTATGGTAGGTGACCAAAATCAGACGGAGAAAGACAAATACCATATGATTAGGATTTCATTTATATATGGAATTTAAAAAGCAAGACAAAGGAAAAACAATAAAAGACATATAAACAGACACATGAATACAGAGAGCAAACTGGTGGTTGCCAGATAGGAAGCAGGCAAAGGAGATGGAAAAAATGGCTTAAAAGAAATGAGAAGCACAGACTTCCGATTACAGAACGAGTAAGTCCCTGCGATGAAAGCACAGGGAACACAGTCAGTGCTCTTGTCATAGTGTCCGTGGGGACAGATGGCAGCTACACCTGTGAGCACAGCATAGCTTATGGGCTTGTCTGATTTGTAGGTCATACACCTGAACCCAATGTCACATTGTGTATCTCCATACTTCTGTAAAACGACAACAACAACAACAACACACACAGACAGACAGACATGCAACATGCACACATAGAATGTCCTATCCAGGAAGATTTTATTTGTCTCAATGACCTTTTTCTGAGACAAAAAAGGAGTTCTTCGAATTCCACCGTAGGTTCTGAGAAAACAAATCAAGCTGAATGATGCAGAGCATAGAATGTACCTGATAGACCACAGCAAGTGTAGAGAGTTATATGAAGTTTCTTTCTCAAAAGGGATCATTTTAAGATCCCCCAGCCTAAATATTACTTTGGCGATGACAAATTTGGTATAATATTTTCAAAAACTATTTCACACATTAAGTAAATACATTAATTTTACAGAACAAGGTCTTACCTAAAAATGAACTTCTCTTGTATGTTGCACTGAAAATATAAATAAATTATATGCTTTGAGTAGACCTCAATTAAAATAGTGCTCAAACATTATATCTAACCTATCTTGGGCTCATGTCAATTACCTGTCATAACACAGTGCTTTAGAAGTAAAAGTTGATTTAGGGGCCCCTGGGTGGCTCAGTCGGTTAAGCGTCCAACTGCAGATGAGGTCATAGCCTAACGGTTGGTGAGTCTGAGCCCCGCATCAGGCTCAGTGGTGATAGTGTAGAGCCTGCTTGGGATTCTCCCTCTACCTCTTTCTATATACCCCTCCTCTGCTTGTGCTCTCTCTGCCTCTCTGTCTCTCTCTCAAAATAAATAAATAAACCTTAAGAAAAGTATGAAAAAAAACAACAGGCGTTAGTGTATTTCCGTGCATATTCACAGTGGACACACATGTCATCCTAAATTGTCCTCATCCATCCCCGGTCACTGGTATGGAGTTGGGGGAAGCTGCCCATGTCTACGAGCAGGACACTGGGGGACCCTGCAGTGTCACAGCCCCAAAACAAACCTCCCCAGGAGGCTGAGCTTCTCAGGGCGGCAGCAGCAGCTGTGGTGACAGAGGACCACAACGTTCTGATGGCCATTCAGCCCCCACCCTCTGAGATGGCCTCTGAGTACACAAGCCTGCCCCGCCTTTGACGCTGTCTCTGAGCGCAGGCGCAGTGGTACTGGGTCCCTGCATGACCCACAGTCACGTGGGATCATCACGTTCTCACTCCTGCAGGTTGTGTGGACTTGACTTTATAGGTTTTCTTCCAAACAAGAAGACTTATATTGCACTTTGCTCAAAGGTAGGCCCCTCCCACAACCTTCCAGCCCTTTCTACACTACAGCACCCTCCAGGAGAATTGCATAGTGTCCTCCAGGGAGGACCTTCCCTATAAAGTCTGGATTCAAGGTCAGCTTGAATCTGACTTTGACTTGTCAGGACTCTTCAGGTCAGCTTCTCAAAATGAGGTTCCCTGCTCAGCTCCAGGGCTGCTAGTGCTTTGGTTCCCTGGTAAGCACAGAGGAGGTGGGAAAGGAGAGCCAGGACAGGAGCATGAGCCCCGGGGACAACATATCCCAGGTGTATTCTGTGTGCGTGTCAGACATGTGTGACTCATCCTCTGGGATGAGGCAGGTAAGGTTTAGATCTGTGAGAGTGTGGAAGTTTCCAGAAGGAACAAGGGCCTGGGCACTAGTGAAAGACTGTGACACAGAAGGTAGGGAGGGAGTCAGCGATGATTAGAGACCTCTCTCCACTTCACAGATGTCACGTTCATTATTGTGATTGTGCATTTTCAGTGCCTGCTGGAAGTCACAAGTAATGGGAGAAACACAAAGTTGTATTTTGGCTACAATAAATGAGATGGAAACAATGAAACTTGCTAAAAATATTTGAATCTGACTTGGCACTTCTCTGTCCTTTCTTTAGGATCCAGTGGGGATATTGTGATGACCCAGACCCCTCTGTCCCTGCCCGTCACCCCTGGACAGCCGGCCTCCATCTCCTGCAGAGCCAGTCAGAGCCTCCTGCACAGTAACGGAAACACCTATCTGTACTGGCTCCTGGAGAAGCCAGGCCAGTCTCCACGGCACCTGGTCTATGGGGTCCAACCGGGACCCTGGTGTCCCAGACAGGTTCAGTGGCAGCGGGTCAGGTTCAGATTTCACCCTGAAAATCAGCCGGATCCATTGACTGATAAATGCATAAAGAATACACATATATACTGTATATATATACACAGTGGAATACTACAAAAGAGACATCAAAAAAGTACTTTCCATTTTGAACAAAGTGGATGGAACTAGAGTGTATTCTGCTAGGCATAATAAGTCAGTCAGAGAAAGACAAATATCATATGACTTCACTCATATGTGGAATCTAAGATACAAAACAGATTAACCTAGGGCAAGGGAGGGAAAAATAAGATTAGAACATAGACGGAGGTAAGCCATAAGAGACTCTTAGATGTAGAGAAAAAACTGAGGGTTGTTGGGGGGTTGTTGAGTCGGGGACAGGCTAAATGGGGGGTGGGCATTAAGGAGGGCACTTGTTGGGATGAGCACTGGGTGTTCTATGAAGAGATGAAAACCTAAATTTTACTCTTGAAACCATCATAACACTATATGTTAACTACCTTGGGTTAAATTTTAAAATAAGTAAAACAAAGTCTTTTTTTTTTTTTTATCAGAAAAGAATTCTTTTACTTTGAATTTTCCGAATTCTTTTTTTTTTTTTTTTATTTCTAGGAAAGAGAGAGAGACAGAGTGAGTAGGGGAGGGTCAGAGAGAGAGGGAGTTATAGACTCTGAAATTGGCTCCAGGCTCTGAGCTGGCAGTCAGCACAGAGCCCGGCCCGGGGCTCGAACTCACGAACTGCGAGATCATGCCCTAAGCGAAAGTCGGATGCTCAACCGACTAAGCCACCCAGGCACCCCATGAATTTTCCGAATTCTTAAGGGCAATATATTGATATAAAACAACCTGTTAAAATGGCAGACTTTTAAGGAGAAATCAGTTGATTTTCACAGAAAGTAGTAATATTTTATCAAATTAAGTATCTTAAAATATTTTGTAAGTATTAACAACAAATACTTGTTATTAATAATGTGTAATTAAACAAAACCACAAGAATCAATGTAATGTGTAATTAAACAAAAGCATGACAGGTGTCTTATTCATTTCCCCATAAATTGTGTTTCTATCCTGGAGAGGAGGTACAACTGATTAATTTATATCTATGCCGAATGACCCTTTAAAACTAGGTGAAGTTTTGTGATATTGTTCTTTTTCTGTTGTCATCTTTGTTTTCATGTTCAATGCCATTTTTTTCTTGTTCAGCTGCATATGTTTGTGAGTTCTTACTCCAAGATGGTTAATTAGGGGTCTGATATTTTCTGAAGTAAGATTCGGAATTGAAGGAGGTAGCATAATAAATAAAATTAAAGACACAGAAGTTCTAAAAGGTAATGAAAGGAAAAAGGTAAATAAAATTGTTAGTCTTGAAATAGGAGACACTTATTGTATTCCTGTCTCCTTACCATCATGTGTCACTGGCCACCCAGATTCTTCCCATAGAGCTCAACAGTGAAAACCGTGTATCATTTTTACCGAATCATATTTTACAACGCTGTTAAAAATTCTTATTTTGGAGGATTGCTCAGAAGATAGTCGAGCCAAGCTCTCTTGTAGAAGCTCATGGAGAACAGTGTTTATTTGTTTGTGTTCTTTGGCAGGTAAGTCTGACTTGGGGTTAGTTACCCAAGATGACCTAGAGCCACACACTCTGCTTTTTACCACTCTAGGCTGGTTTCTTTGTTTTGTTTTGGGTAACAAAGGATGCTAACTACCCTCCTGGATGAATTAAAATCAGCTCCATTTTCCAGGAGTGGTTCAATCCATCCTGACTCAAGTCACTGACAAGGGACAGAGACTCAGGTGCCTCTCCTACTTGAATGCCCCGCGGCAGGGTATCCGGCTGGCCCTGAGCAGTGGCATCTTTGGGGGGAAAGGCAGGGAAACATCAGTCACAGGAAAGGGTTACCCCAAGACGTTCAACAGTGTCTCCAGTTCTTGCTCTTCTCACATACAAATCTCCTTGAACTCTACGTTCATGGCCATGGCCGTGACTCATTCAGGTCGGGGAGAGACTCAGGTTGTCACACAGAAGGAACGAGAACCTGGAAGGCCTGACAGAGCCTGTCCTCCATGATGAGAAAGACTGTACGAGAAGAGATTTCTAACCACCACACAGAAAACACAGTCCTTGCTTCTGTGATTCCGCTCTCTTAGGAAGCCTTCCGTGAAGAAATTCCTTTGGTTTCTCTGGTACGTGTGAGGCAAGTATGATGGGAGGTACACCCGTCAGTGGATGTCCAGGATTTTATATTCACTGCCTGGTGCATGAATCTTCCCTGTCCTCCTCTGACATGAATCGGGCTGTTAGCTCTCTATACGGAGGACACGGCCTGGTTTCCCTGTCAAGGCCTCTCTCTCCCAGAGTGCTTTCATGGTGCTTACCTCCCCACATGACCTACAATGGCGGTTTCTACACTTGCGTGTCACTTTCTGAACCCGTTACCCTGGGGACCACAGAGAGCTGACAACACTTGAAGGAGCAGAACACCCTCTGCTGGAGGAAACACCCTCTTGATCTCCAGCAGCGTTGATGGGAACTATTTTGTCTGTAGATGAGCTACAGGAAGTCAAGAAGATGGCATTCACTTCCCAGTGGTTGAACCTAACTAGACACACATGTCTACATAATCAGTGTCTCTCTGCTTCCTAGAGGGTCAAGGCCAGTGCCCATCCTCACTTTTGACCCGGATTCCACAATCATATCTTACTTCACACTCTGCAGGCAGCAAAACTGTGCAGTGTTGCTTTTCCTCCAACCCCACAACATGCTTTATGTGAATGTGTTCACATAATAAAGCCTTTACCCTCTGTTGGCTTTTTCAAATCTGCTGCAGCCACAGGACATTTGCATAGTGTCCCCTAGGGAGGATCTTCCCTTCCCTTGCAAGTCTGAGATAAAAGGTCACTCCTAAACTGGCCTTGACTTATGAGAGCTCATCAGTTCAACTTCTCAAAATGAATTTCCCTGCTCAGCTCTTGGGGCTCTTTATGCTCTGGATCTCAGGTGAGTGCAGAGGGGGGATGAGAGAGAAGAATGGGGTGTGGAGGGTGAGCGAGAGTGACCCCACTGCTCCCCATGTGTACTCTGACCATACATGTTCATGCTCCAAGGAAGAGAACTTGATCTTACGAGATTTAGGAACCACCTAAAATGAACAATGACCAGTGTCGGATGAAGACTTTGAAAAAGAAAGAATCACCTTTGTGCCTTGTAAATATTATTGTTCTCATTATGATGTGGGTCATTTTCTTTTTCAAAATGATTCACCTGAAGTAATTAACAAAAGGAAAATTATGAAAATGGCTTGTAAGGTCTGTATGCATCCTTGAACTTCTCTCTCACTATTTTAGGATCCAGTGGGGATATTGTGATGACACAGGGCCCTCTGTCCCTGCCCGTCACCTCTGGACAGCCAGCCTCCATCTCCTGTAGGGCCAGTCAGAGCCTCCAGAGTAGATTTAGAAACAACCTTTTATATTGGTACCAGCAGAAGCCACGCCAGTCTCCACGGCTCCTCATCTATAGGGCTTCCAACAGGGCCTCTGGGGTCCCTGACAGGTTCAGTGGCAGCGGGTCAGGGACAGAATTCACCCTGAGAAAAGCAGGGTGGAGACTGAGGACGTGGGAGTTTATTACTGCCAGCAAGCTCTACAAACTCCTCCCACGGTGATTAAACAAAGAACAAAAACCTGCCTGGCTGGGGATTTCAACTGCCCCAAAGTGTTGATTGTCTGGGGGGCAGGTCGTCCGAATGTGTGTAAGCAGAAGATGTTGCACACCCCAGGGGACTAGGTCGCAGCTGAGGGCCCCGCAGCACGAGGGCTTTGGCACCCCTTGGGCACCACGTGCTAAGGCCCCATCAGGTGCCACAGCCTTAGGATGGCAGAAGCGGTTCTGGGATGAGTCTGTGGTCTTAGGCTTTGGTTTCTGCTGGGTGTATTGTTAGGGATGGAAGTCGGCCTCCCAGGCTGGGGAGATGTTTGGCTTTGGGAAGGCCCGCCCCCCCAGTTTTCCA